ACAATATACCCTCCTCAGACCCTCCCCATCACCTGCAAATACCAATCCCATCCATGGGGGAGGTATGGATATTTTATGGAACTACACAATATACCTTCCTCAGACCCTCCCCATCACTTGCAAATACCAATCCCTTCCATGGGGGAGGTATGAATATTTTATGTTACTATACAATATACCCTCCTCAGACCCTCCCCATCACTTGCAAATACCAATCCCTTCCATGGGTGAGGTATGAATATTTTATGTTACTATACAATATACCCTCCTCAGGTTACCCTCCCCATCACTTGCAAATACCAATCCCTTCCATGGGGGAGGTATGAATATTTTATGGAATTATTCAATATATTGTATCACTTTTTTTGTTCAGTACGTTTGACTGTGATGACAAAGGGTTTCTACAACATCACGATGTTCAGTATGGGTTAGCGGCGATGGAACCTAGTACCCCCCATGGGGGTCTCTCTGGGGAGCTAAGATGTCGTTACATCTTTAAATTCTACAACAAGGAAAATAATGGACTACTGGATTTCTCTGGATTCAAGTAAGACATGCATAAAACCATTATTTTTTATCTTCTGTATTGACGACCCCTTGCATGTGACGTCAAAGCAGCTCAATTTGGAGGACAAAATTGTACACACTCATGTCATTCTGGAGTGATTATCTCAAAAACAAGCTCAGGACACCCCATTTTTCTTTGCATTTTTGAAATTGGCATTAAATTTCAGGTTAAAAGAGTTTCAATTTTCAATTTTCTGTTTATTATTTACAAAAGTAGTCAGCCACATTAACTATAGTTTTCTGCCATGTTTAATTTCTAGGGAAATGGTACAAGATATTTATCGTGCAAGGGGACAGCAACTGGACGAGGAGTTGCTTGTTAAAGCTGCTGCCGATAATGCAAGGTACCTCTTACATTCAATTTTAAAACTATAAACTGGTAGAAGAAATGGCAGTTTTTTTAGCAAATTGATGGGATAAACGGTGATATCATCATCATCATCATCAATCAACACTTAAGTCATCATCAACAGCACCATCATCATCACCATTATTAACACTATCATCATCACCATTGTCAACATCTTCAACAATATCATCATGTCATCAATATCAACATTAGCATCATTATAATCACCATCACCATCAGCAACATCATCACCATCATCATGATTAACATCTTTACCCTCATCGTCATCATCATTATCAATATAATTATAATCAGCTTAACTATTATTTTTTTATCAGACTATTTGGTGATCAAAGACGAAAAGCCATCTCACTAGTTGACTTCCTTGAAGCCGTAGGCTCCCTCAAGTTCCGTGGTACCTCAGTTCTATTCCGCCTTCCTTTGTCCATCACCAAGTTTGCACAAGAAGACATGCTAGAAGGTTTGACGGGAGAAGCACAGTCATTCGCTACCTCAGGGTGGGTATTTGGTTTCGTATACCCCAAAGTCCATTTTCTATTTTCTCTAGCATTCATTCTTTCATTCTCTTTTTAGCTTACTTTCTTTTTTCTTTTCTTTCCTTTCTTCTCTTTCATCTTTTTTTCCTTCATTGCCTCCTTTCCTTTCTTGTTTGAGTATATTCTCTTTTTCGGTTTCTTTCTCTAGGTTTTTTTTTTCTGCTTCCTCCATTCTTTCGCCCTCCCTTGTTTCATGTCTTCAGTGTCCTATTTCTGTTTTGTAGCATTTCAAACAAGAAGCGCAAAAGTCTCAGCATGGAATGCGATGAAGATACAACAGATACAACAGACGTTGACGACGAAAGTCTATCTGGAGAGTAAGTGGAGACAAGGCTATCTATATATGCACTATATATAGTGACAATATATGGCGAATAGCGTTCGTTCCAGCTCAATATTATATCGGTTTGACCATTCCACACACGGAAGATTTGATTGTAGATTTAAGTCTAAACCACAAATGGTCTATCTTAAATGGCGTGTTGTGATTGGCTGGGCTACTACTTATAGTCTATTAGTGATTAGACCACTAGTAGCGAAAAGAGCCGGTTTTGAAAACCAACACAATGGCGACTAACTCGCGTTTTCAAACTAATTTTATTTCTTTTATTTTTTTAATTGACCGATTAGTAGGTTTAGACAAAATAATTATAGAACTTTCGCCCTCATGGTCTACGAGTTGATAGTTGACTCCTAGACTCCATTCGAGCTTCGGGTCTAACTTGTCAATTATAATACTTTTTAGCGAAATATAATAGCCCAAATTATCCTAATAGTTATGGCAAAATGAGCTATTCCAATTTTTTCTCTTCTTTTTTTCCTTTATTTTAATTTTCAAATCAAAATTTTTTTTGTAATTTTGCGTGTAGCTTGAATGGTCTCAAATTCTCCTGACTAGTCCTTCTCTTGATATATCATTGATGCAATATATTATATAATATATATGAACCAACCACATTTATTTCGCAGTATTGATGCGGGCCTTATTAAACTTTTATCGAGTCTGTCGTTCAAAATCCTTGGCTCGCGTACTAACGACAAACAAATGAATTTGTTTTGGCGAACGATTTAACGATTTTGCCATTTGCTTCAAATGCTGGGTTTTTGCGTGTCGATTTTAAGTGTTTAATAGCTTGCTCATTGCAAAATTAAGCCTAAACAGTGTTCAGGTCGTTAAACATAATGTTTTGAAAAACGGTCCAATCTTGGAAACCCACTAAAACCCTAAACACTTTGAAGTAACCAATAACATACAGCTACCAATCGAGGCCTAATGGACAAAAGTGAATTAACACTAAGAAACTGAACGAATTTGTAAAGCGATGGCATTCTGCCTCAATAGCGCATTTAATAAAACTCGCCAAGGTGAAGAAAACAATTTGTGGAATTCGAGTGAGCTGGTTATCGAGGAAATGGGTGAATAGTTTTGGTCCATAATATAATTCTAGAAATATTTTTGGAACATAAGTAACCTATATTTCTATCTCTGGTTTGATGAATCGAGTTATCTGATGGAACAGCAGTTGATGTATTTATATACAGACCTCGGAAATAATAAAAGCGAAAGAAGATTTAATGGCATTTTTCAACCAAGCTCGTCAACAGTGAGACCTCTAGGTTTATCCAAAATTTAAACACGTTAGCAGACTCGAAAACCAGCCATGACAACCACGTCGAACAGCAAAGACAGTTCAAGCTTAACAGATCAACCTGATTTCTACATAACAACTGTTTTTATTCTTTTCTTCCTGTCGCTGATCATCGCGTTGGAAAATTTACTAGTCTTAATAAGCATTGGAATGTTTATTTTCAAAAAGTACTCCATAAATCCATTTATCTGTTCGCTGTCTTTGGCCGATATTCTCCATTTTCTTGGCCCGGTTCTGATTTCTCTTTATATTTACATCTCCGATAGACCACAAGGATTTCAGCAACATTATTCTCTTTGTAAAATTCAAAGTTGGTTGACAGTTTTCTTACAAATGACATCAATGTTGTCGATTGTGATGCTCGCGATAGACAGAAACCTTTTACTCACTAAACCAGTCTTTTATGAAAGAAAGTGGAAGGGTTTATTGTTGGTTGTAGTCGTCATAACTTGTTGGATGCTGTCCGCCTTTTTATCTTCCTGGCAAATGCTCTCATCGGAGGATGTCAAACCGACACGTTTCGCTCCCCATATTTATTGCCTTTTTACTCCGAGCAGCAGCTTTGCGATCAGTTTTGCTTCAATTCATCTCTTCTTCGTGTTGGTGTGTGTGGTTAGTGTGATCTATACAAGTTCTTCCAGGAATTCTCTTTTTAGAGCTGAATATTCAAGTGCTACGGGAAAAATTAAGGTTAAAAAGACAAGAAATCTTGTTCAAGAAGAGTACACTCGTAAGATGACAAGGATGGTATCGATAGTGGTTTGTCTCTACTGTGCTTCACATCTTCCTTGGATGGTGAGTTGGTACTTTACAAATATAGATATAATATACTAACAGCTACTTTGTTTTTTTATAGCCGCCATGTTGGTTGTTCATTGCTTTCTTTTGCCATAACAACCAACATGGCCGCCACACCTTTGTTAATTATTTCATTTTGTTGGGATCACTAAAAACTTGCAATTTCAAAGGGGAGGAGAGGGTAGATGAACGGGCTTCATTCATTGAACCCCCCTCTTATCCCCCTCCCCCAGTGAAATTGATCTGTTCTTCGCTCTTTTGCGCATGTCTAAGCTGTACTCATCTTTTTTTCTAGGTAGCCATATTTCTGGGTTACTTCAACGTTACCTATCCACCTATATATGGCCTACTGTCCCTGCAGTTCCCTATGGTCAGCAGTCTTTGTAACCCATTACTTTACGGCTTGGTCTGGCCGCCATTCAAAAATGCTTACGTCAATACTGTGAAAGCTCCAATGCGCATGTGCAAGAGGGACACTCGGAATATTCGTTCGCACAGCTTTCAAGGTAATGTAAAGAAAGTCATTCTGGATTATTAAAATTTCTGTCTATGATTTGATGATGACATTTGCTTTTTCTGTCGTTTAGATTCAAGCTTGAGCCGCAGTTACAGTTTTTGGTCAGCGGAAGGATTCCCAGTGACTGCTGACCAGGAAGAAAACTCTCCTCAAGTCTTATTTGGTCCCAGTTCTCACTCCAGCCAACCAATCAACTTCATGCCAGAAGAGCTCCGCATATTTGAGAATGAGGGACTGACTGCGGACTCTATAAGCCTTGAGATTGTTGGCAAAGACGGCACTCATGACGCCACAAGTGACGTCACTTGTAGCAATAACATCAGCACAGCTGCCACTAATATTGCACTGGACGCTAGTGGTCAGTTCCAGAGTATTCTCGACTTAATTGAAGAAATGACGGAAGGCAAATCTAGAGCAAAGTGCTCTTCCAAAAAAGGAAAAAATCAGTCAATTGATTCGAAGGAAACCAGTAGATACTGGTCAGCGGATGAAAGCAGCACGCATGCGCCTTCACAGAACGGAAGAACTAGTTCGACTACTGATGGTGCAGTGGTCGTTGTAGACACTCATCCTTGGGAACAGGATCGACAAGGGACGGTTCGTTCGGGTATCGCTGGGTGTGTCTGTATTGGCAAGTCTGAACGTTACGTTATTGACAATAACAGAAATCGATACCTGAACTATGCGGTTACTAGGGAAGTCACAGAGATATGTGACCCTAGTAACGAAGTGGGAGTTATAATGAACGGGAAATAATGGAACTCAGTTATAGTTATTTATTATTAATACAATTATAATAAATAAATAAATTTAATAAGTAAAATAATTAAATTTATTTATCAATATTTTATTCTTCGAGAATTGAGTGCGAAACCAATTTCACTGGAAAGACTCAAATTTGAACAAAAATATATCGCTTTTCCTTTCCTTCCAATTGAACTTCTTACTCCAAACTAGCCGGACTAGGACTGTCTTGTAACTAATGCATTTGTAACTTGGTGGTAATAAAGTCTTAGATTTTGGCCAGTATTAAAAGTTAACGGAGAAAGAGTGAATAATGACACAAAACTGATCACGTGAGTTGAATGAATGAAAACTTGACATTTCACTTGAAATATTGCCTTTACTTTTTACTGTTAAAAGAAAAATATGAAGTAGGTTATATAAATAGATGGAAACATGTTTAGTTTCCACGAATAAATGCTTTTAAATTTTGATTATTGAAAAACTGTCAGCTCAAAATCATTTTCGCTTCAAAACAACCGTTCCGAGAAATATCCACAATATTCTTTTATTTTCCCAATGACATCGATTTTATTTTCAAACTTCATCAAAATCGATTAATTAATATAATCTATAAAAATGCACAGTTTGTTTTGACGTCCACAGCTGTGTGTTATCAGCGGTTTATTTATGGGACATAACAGCTGACGAAGGACAAACGCCAAAAGCGCATGCGCATATTCTTGTATAATATCTCGGCTAATGTTTTCTACGGTGTCGGTCTTTTGTGAAAAACAATTAAGATGAAATACTTTCAGGAATTATTCTTCAAATTTGTGTTCTTCAAACTTTCTTTACTTCCAGGTAATATTCTTGTCTTGAAATATTAATTCATAGGACAATTTCCGTCCACAAGAGTTACATTAATATAAGTTCATCTCGTTAATTGATCTTTACCCATAGTTATAGCAGCTGATGGAGTGGATCACAAGAGTTATTCTCTTAATGTCGAGTTGCCCAGAAGTTCAAGTGTTTGGGTGGCAAATGACAGAGAAAGAAGCATTGTGTTTAACTATGCTGGAGACGTTGAAGCTGATTCGTGGAGTATCAAGATAGTACGAGGAAGGGATGGAGCAGTAGTGAGGGAATGGCTCAGGGAAATTATTCTACAGAAAGCAAATCGTAGAGCATCATCATCCTCATCATCAGCGGAATCATCACCATTATCTTTGTCACCCTTCTTTACTTTCGAAAAATCAATTATTGTTTCCCGATACTTCCAAACCGACAAATATTTCGTCGAAATTTGTGGGAATTTTATCGGTTCGACACATGTTGGCAGCAGACTGTGTACCAAGAGCGAACAATTTCTTATTGAAGGTAAATAAATATAGGACTGATATCTGAATATCATGTTTAATTTGATATCATTAGATTTATTCTGAATATCATTTGGAATTTGTGAAATAGCGTGAATCAACTCACCCTACTCCACCCTTGACTTAATCTTGTTTTTGTGTGTGTGCTTCAAAGGTGTATTAAAGTCAGATGATAGTAAAGACAAGGAGAAACACGAAGAACGTTTCTTATCACAGCAACGAGAAGCAGAGAACAGCCTGCACAATGTAGACCTGGAAGAGATATGGCCGGTGAATGGCACACGATGTACAGTGCATAGAATACATCAACCAACTAAAGAAAGATTTGTAGAAGAATGTATGGAACCAGGTAAGGCTCACTTCGAGTTTAACTCAAAAAGCTGTTAGTTTGCTGTCGACGCGCAGTCGTGATGTTGCCATGACAGGTTTTTGTTTTTCGAATAAGTCATCTTTCGTTAGATCGGGAAATAATTTAATCACCCATAATTTAAAAACCAGCCAATCTCGACGCCAGAGCCTTCGTTTCGCCTGGTCAGCAATGAGAAACTGAGAGAAACTTTGTTTCTTGGTGCTGACCACGAGAAACGAAGGCTCTGGGGACGAGATTGGCTCTATGTTGAGATGTACGCATGCGCAGTTAACTTTGTCTAGTGTCATCGTCATGTCATTGTCATTGCTGAAAAAAAACACGATCATATTTTCTTGTCAGGAATACCTTGTATCGTTACTGGTGTGATGGACAAATGGAAAGCCATGAGAGCCTGGAGGTTAGAAAAATTCCAAAACGACCCAAGAATAAAGGAAGGTGTTTATATAGGACAACGTGAAGAAATGATTCCTCTACGCGTATACTACGATTACATTAAAAACCACGCGCACAAAAACAAATCCAAATGGATGGTGTTTATGCCGGATGTGTTTGATTTGTATCCAAGCTTGTCGCAAGTATGTATCTATTTCTGTGTAATAGAAAATTCAAAAAAGATCCCACATTCAAAGGAGTAACTATGGGTCCTAAGTTATCAGCGAATCTAGCGAAGTTTTAGGTCTGCTGGTCTAGGGGCCGACTAACCTTTCCCTTAGGCTTCTGCCGAGCTTCCTAATCAGTCTGTAATTCCTCCCGGGATAGCGGTGTCGGGGTCGAAATCTCCGGCGTAGCCGTAAGTCCATACGACGGTTCAGCACTCGATGTCTGGAAGTATGGTCCTGGTTATTTTAATTAAACTAAAAAATGAAAAATAATCCAAACAAATAGGCTTCGTAGCAGACTTAATTTCGATTAGATCAACTTGGGTAGGGGAAAAGACAAGTGAAAATATGTGCGTTCAGGATGGCTGTTCATGTCCTTTCTGTGCATGATGGTACTAGAGTCGAGTCAAACTGGTTTCTGCGCAGTTTTGATAGTGCTATTAGAATTATAAACCAATGATCTCTCTCCTTATAATCAAAGGATTACACTGTCCCAGATTTCTTTTCGGAGGACGATGATTTTATGACTAAAGTTGATGAAGATTTACGTTTGGACTGGCGTTGGATAATCATGGCTCCAAAGAAGAGCGGTTCAGGATGGCACGTTGATCCTGCTAACACTACAAGATGGCTAGCACTTGTTACAGGCGCTAAACTCTGGGGTCTCTATCCTCCGAGCCAATACCATATTCCTGGTAAGAGTTTCAAATCTATTCACACTCAAAATACAATAATGCATATATTCAGTTAATTATAGTTATTATGAATAGAAAATATTACTTATGATAATTATTGAATGATAGTAAATGAAAATAAATCAAGTGAAAATAAACCTTCGACAGAAGTAACCTTGTTGTCAAGGTGGCAACTTGTCTAACATGCAGCAACTCGTTTCTTATTTTAACAGCAACTCTTTTCTTATTTGCAACAACTCGTCTAACTTGCAGCATGGCTATTGATAATAGTTATTGTTTATCTCTGTCAAGCAGTTTCTCATGCTTGATTTCAGTAGCCATTTCCATAACCGTGGTTTTAACGCGCAGTAATGGGTGTTGATCTTGTTAACAGGTGTAAAGAACAATTATTACCAAAAACGAGATTATGAAATGGATGATGCGTATAACTGGTGGGTCTACACCAGACCACATTTGGTAAGCAGAATAGATAATAGATAATAGATAATAGATAATAGATAATAGATAATAGATAATAGATAATAGA